TCTGTAAATAAGCGCTAGCTAATAAACCTTGCTGATTGAACCTACACGGTCTCCAGGAGTTTCTTGGGCTAGGCCTGACAGGTGCAGTCATGTGATGCCTCGCTTAATGACATCACTTAATGATGAATTTTCCAGTCCCTATTGTGGTCATAAGTTGAGGACTACCTGTACAACATCCCTGTATTCTTTATAGACAAAATAACAACCTCATGGAGAAGGGGCCAAGAAAGGGAGGCCCAGCTTTTAGGCTGAAGCTGGATTGGCAGCCATGGGAAGAATGGGGCACAAAGTCACAATCTGCAAACTAATTAACCTAGCAGAAAGGTCAGTCAGATCCAAAAACTTAATGATGCAAATGAAACACAGGCCAAGGCACACTCCACTGATTAGCAGGCATTCAGACAGTGGGGAAGAGGTTGTGAGGGCTCACTCACCCATTCCACAAGAATGGGTCCAATCTGCTCCACGGTCCCATCCGGTCGTGTCACTTCTCCCAGTTTCTCCAGGAAGTCTATAAAGGAAAGACAAGTGGGATTTGGCAAGAGGTAAACATAGGGGAGATATCAATCAAGCCATCTCCATTTAAATGGAATTTTTAATTTTAATTAAATGTATTTAATAATTATATTAAAATAATTAAATTGAGTTAAAATTAAATGTTACATGGAAACAAGCTCAAGTTGAGGGTCTGGGCGTGATTCAGACCTGCCTGCACCTGAGCACTATATCTCCTTCAATCATCCATCCTGAAGATAAAAACTGCTGGATGAGCCCTCTCTGGAGAAGCCGCCACATTATGGAATGCCCTTCCAGGGACGGCACATCAAGCTCAGCCAGCAACATTTGGCTGCCAGGTTTAAAAAAACAAAACAAAAAAACCCCCAGCTCTTGTAGGTAGCTTTTTATGTGACTTTTTACAAGAACCTTTTAGTTTAGTACGAAACTATTTGTACAGTGATGCGTGTTCCTAGATCAGTTTGCTTTATTAGTCACCTTGGGAGGACGTGGCATCATGCCATCCAAGGCATCAAGAAATCCAGACTTGCTAGGAAGGGCAGCCGTCTTACCTTCATGCAACGGGATGTAGGAATCCAAGTCCCCAAAGATGTGAGTGAGCTCCCCTTCGGACATAATGGATAGCTTCAACATGGGGTCATGGTAAGCCTGTCAATAAACAGGAAGAGATGTGACTCTCCTACCAAAGCTGGATCAGGGAGGACGGTGGCATCTCCCAGCAGGGCTGGATAGGACTCCTGATGGAAATGCTAGAGGACTGCTAATCTTACAAACCAGAATCAAGGGGATGGGCCAACTCATTATCATGCAGCTCCCTGGGAATCTTGAACACAACAGCGCTATAACAGCCCTAGAGAGCCAAATGATCCCCAAGGGCCTGGGACTTGCTCGGTCGGCGCCCTACTGCTTTTCTCTCCCTGTGCTCTGATCCTGTTCTGAACAAAGCCAGGCTGAGAGGCCTTTGCTCAGTCCTCTGGATCCCAGAACAGAGACCTGAAGCCTCTTATTAGAAGCCGCCCAGCCAATACACACAAGGGTTCTCTCTCACCCTGCCCCTCAAAATCTATTAAGGCTGTATAGATATATACCTCTCTTGCTGCTATTCAGAAGAGGGTGCTACTGAGAAGGTGGAACACATGGCATAGAAGAAATTAATTTTAACCAATGGCTTGTAGTCCTTTTGAAAAAATAGAGAAACTTGCAGCGTTATCAATCAAAGTAAACAGATTAGTGAGAGACCCACCTTTCTTGCAAGTTTCAGGTCCTCAATCAAATCCTGCTCACCCCGAGAAAGTTCGTATATTGCCTGCAAAAGCAAATAAGGAAAAAAATGAAATACTAATTCATTACAAGCTTCTTGACCTTTCAAAGACTTAGCAATCTACTAAATCTGTTTAGTTATTATTTGTTAGATTTATACCCTGCCTTTCCTTTAGGAGTTCAAGGCAGCACACACAGCATTCCCATCTCTATCGAGGTAAGCTGGGCTGCAAGAGACGATCTGGCCCTAAGTCGCCACCCCAGACAGCTTCCTGGGCTGAGAACAGACTTGAACTTGGGCCTTCTCGTGAATAATCCAAAACCTTCTCCACTACACCAACCAGGCTCCTAGTTGCCCAGTTAAGGAAGAAGAATATTGACTAAATTACCCCAATCTTCCTTGCAAATGCATTTTGAACTGAGAAACCAGTCACTACGCAGGGAGGGAGGGAGGGAGGGAAGAGAGGAAGGAAGTTTAGCAGGTAAACTGCAACCTTCTGCCTGGACTTTGTCACCACCAAGTCAAGCCTTGTCTAAGCTTCAAGCACTGCTTAGAAAAGTAAACTCCTTGTCACAAAAGGAGGCTTTGAAGCTGGGACAAAGTCAAATTAAATATTGACTCCTTTCGATTGGGAAATGGATTCCATCTCAATGGTTTCAGAGGGCTGAATTGTGGCCCTTTGTCATCTAGCTTGCTACGTAGTTCTTAGTATCTTTTTTGGTTGGGTCTTGGGCACGTTTTAGATGTCACTGGGTATAAAATTCTTAGGTCTGATGATGTCATCCATGTTGAGCCACAGAAATTTAAGTCTGGTGTTTAGACTACACACCAGCCTTCCCTGGTGTAGTGAACCCTACTTATGTAATTACTCGGTAACATGAAATTACTGTCTTCTGCAGATTGAGGACATGTTAACCAAGACAGAGGATATGACTGGAGGGAGATGGATACGCTAATGGAGGCTGCAGAAATACTACTTCCTACTCACTGGAGCCTCACTCCTTAAACCACCTCCTCGTCCTCCAATAAAAACTGAGGAACCCAACTTCAAGATAGCACTCTAAAAGCTCAATCTGTCTGCCAACATCAGTCCAAGGGTACCTGTTGTGTCAAAGCACAGCCTACCTCTTGACGTTTGATTTCTTTGGTGCTCAGGGTCTCCTTCATATTGACATCCAGCGTCTCAGACCAAAGCACGCTGTTTCTTCTTTTGGGAGGCGTTGGGGCAGTTAACCGGCTGCACAGCTTCTGAGCACTACCTGGTGATTTGTTGTCACTGCGAAGGGAGAATGACTGTGGGAGCAGATGGGGAAGGAGCAATCTGTTAGCAGCAATGAGCATGAGAAACTCAATTTACTTTCACCCCTGTGCCAATCTAATCAGAGCTGTAGGCATACTGTGCTGCCTACAGAGGCAGTTTGGCTCTTGTCCAAATGGGAATAATCTGACCAGGCACAGCCACACTGTAGGATACGTTGAAACATCAGCCATGCCCGATTCTCGGATTCCCTTTGAAAAGGCTGGCACGATTTGTCAAACCAAACACAATTGATCGATTGGTTCAAGAACGGTGTAATTCTACCTCTCCAAATTCAGGGGATACTAATGAGTGAGGAGAATGGTGTGTTTTTGTGCCTTGTGTCAGCAGTAGTGTCCTAGCAAAGCTTGGTAGCATTCACCTAGAGAAACCAGGCAGTACATCTTACACAAAAGGCTTTGCTGAGGCAACATCCCCGTGAGGGATAGCCAGGTTGCACATGTGGCTTTCAGTATCAACACAGTTGTCAGCCAAATGCCCCTTCTTTCTCCCTCTGGCCTGACCCAATATGGAGCTGGATGGGGGTTCTGACTTGTTTAGCCCTACAAACTGATGCAGCCGAAAGGGAAACATAATTCTGCAACTCTCGATTCCTGTCACCCTTTTCAGGTTTGCATGGAACTGTGGCCTAAGGATTAAAAACCACACGGAGCAAAGGGCAGGCTGAAATCCAGGTTTGCTCTCTGAAGCACAAAACACATGCTTCCAAACTAGAAGTAAAAGGAAAAGGATGTCTAAGAACTTCCTGACGATATTCCGGAAACCTTTAAAAACCTGGCTGCTCTCCCAGGCCTTGGGGTAGAGTGTCTGTGGAGCCCTGGGGGGCTGTTTGTGGTGCAGTTTGTCCCAATGCATAGGTTCTTGTTTATTGTTCTTCTATTTTAAGTGTAAGCCACCCAGAGTTGTTCTAGAGTCGGGTGGCCTCTAAGCAAATAAATCAATCCATATCCCCAACTGCTGGGTTTTCATTCCTCCCACTTAAGATTCGTGAGGACCAGAAAAGTTCTTAAAAAGGCAACACTCTGGCACCAGATATTGGCACAGAGGTCACGTCTGGATCAGCAGCCCTGCTCCTTCAACAACCCATCCCCATCTCAAGCCCACCCACCAACTGGCCCACCTACCTGTATTGTCTGGCCAAATCGCCGCACTGCACCATTTCTTACAGGAGAAATCAGGTTTGCCAAGGAGGTTACCCGAGCCAGGGATCGGACACGTTTATTGCTAGGCTCCTGCAGAGAGATAAACAAGGGAACAAGTTGTACGGGTGGTTTACTCAGGACTTAAGAGTGCTGGCCGGCCAGAGGGCTGAGGTCAGGGAGTGCAACATCAAACCTCACTACAAATTACATCGAGGCACCCTACCCCAAAGCACAGTGGCCCCTTCAAGAGAATTTTTTTTTTTTTAGCATTGACCTTAGAATCAAGTAACAAGGTTTCTTGGTTGGTCAGCAAAAATAACAAAGTCCACAAGAGTCAGGAAGAACAAGGATGCTTTTAGGCTACAAGTTTCTAACTGCTTCCATAGCTTCATGAAGTGTGCAACCCTCTTTTCTCGCTTGGGAAATAATGCCCTGCGTAGAGGACAAAAGAATAATGGGTCTCCCTTCTTCTTCCTATGCCAAATGCCTCCCTCAGAAAGATGGAAACAGATGTGGTGCACACTGCAGGAAACCAACATTTAAACGCTGAAATAATGCACAAGATTGTAGCTGGATTCCAAGGAAAGAAATGAACTGCAGCCAGAGATTGTGTGGGGGGAACTTTTTTCGAAGGGAAAGATAAAAAGATATGGGCACCAAATACCTTAGCATTGCACAACTGAAAATCATGGTCCAGCTAGAGCTGCCTGGTAAGCAACATCTTACACCAACCTTCCCCAACCTATGCTCAGACTGCTGAGAACTGCAGAACCAATGCAAGGGTGCCAGGTTTCAGGACAAAGATTTTCTTTCTCTGGGACCTTGAGAATGTAATCTGCTTTCTCTTTGATGTAGCTCTCCTGATTAGATTCTCAGGTCCAGCCCAAATTCCCTTCCCCATTTAGATTACAAGCCTGTGACAGGCCTTGCTAATCTGTTGATTCCATTTAAATCCTGTTTTTGTGCTGATGCTCAAAGCATAACACATAGGATTCCCTGCCTACAATATTCCTTCAAAAAGAAAAGCCTTGTTAAGTCAGTCAGTGAGTTTCCCTGGCTGAAGACAGACCTGGCCCTGGTTCTCCCTGGTCCGTGCTACTTCACTGCACTGATATGCTAATATCTGAGCAGCACAAAGGATATTGTGTACTTTACGCTGGTAACAATGGGTGTGGGTTGTGTTACTTTTATTTCCAGTTCCAGGGAACTGCCACAATCTCTGTTTAACTTCATCACAAGACTGGTGGCATCTGATACACACATCAAAACAAGGCAAAGCGTACTTGAATCCGCATGTTTTCCTGGGTGACGTGAATCTTGCCAATGTGGTTTGTAAACCATAGTTTATGTCTTAGCATGTTGCAGGAACTTGGCCAATTACAGGTTATTCAATAAAACAAATACTGGCTGAGCAGAACGTGTAAAGCCATGGTGCGCCATCTGGCTTTCTTTCACAGCCACACCAAATCAAGCTGTTTTCAAAAGTTTGACGCTGGGAGATTTCTCCCCTCAAGGGTTCGGGAGGGATTTAATTTCATCCATGGCTCATGGTGGAGCCTGGGCTTTCTCACGGGCAGAAAGCCTGGTTCAAAGCCCAGCTTCTTCAGTGCCTCCCGAAGTCTGGAGAAGCCCAGCCTGTTTGGGCCAACGGAACCAGGTTGGATAAACTGGTGGCCTGGCCGAATGGGAGTCTTCAGAACGTCTTGGAGCACAGATCAGCTTGCAGGCACGACAGCTGCTCATTTCTCTCCCTTTCTTAATTCTCTGTAGTAGAAAGGAAGGGGGTCGAGGGAGAAAGGCCAGCCCCTGCCCTATCCAGGAGTGCGACTCGGAAATCAGTGGACAGAGAACAGAGCACTTCGCAGCTGGAGGGAGATTCCAAAGAATATTGAGGAATGATGTCATGCATTCCACAGAACTGTGGGGAGTAGCGAGCAGGAGCGGATCGATTCCAGGGGAAAAAAGGAGCGACATGCACCCATTCCAAAATAATACTGCTGCAGAGCAAAGTGCCACCCTAATGTATTTATAAGTTTTTTCCGTACCTTAAATGGCTGAAAAATGCCCAAAGTGGCCATCTGACATTCTACAGGTACAGGTGTTTTTTGGGGGGTGGGGGTTCTGATCACTCACATATGAAACCCCCACATCACTAAAATTCGGGTGGTTTTGTTTTTACCTCTATTTTTATAGATTGTTGTAAGCCACCTCTCTCATATAATGATCCTGTAAGCACAAGAAACATATCAGTTCTGTAAATAAATAATGCTCTTGTTTAATAGCAAAATTGGATGGTAGAGAAGACAGCACCTAAAAGTTGGAACTTTTCAGAAAGGAGGGAATATGCTACCGTAGCAGTTCAGTAAGGCTCCTTCTGTGGATATGAACGTGCTCCATGTGTGCCAGTAGGAACGTACTCCTGTACTGCTCAAGAGCTTATAGATGCGACCCACCAATGTGACTTTATTGCCAACCTTCTTGATTGAGGGAACTATACCCGACTGTACGCTATGAACTACACCCAAGACAGACAGCATCAACCACCCTGTTCCAATACCAAAATGGATCTGCAACTGTTTTTATTTTGTATATTTGGTGCAATTTATTAAATATTTTCTGCTAGCAAAAAGGCGGCAAACTTCCAGAGATACAACAGCTATCAGCCCAGCCATGTTCATCTGAACTAGTTTTTCAAGTTGCATTTCAGAGAAAAGAGGGAGTGGGGAGGAGCTCTATTTGAAATCCTTGCCTGTTCTCAGTAAAATAACTTTCACTCTCCAGTAAAAAGCAAGGGGTGGGGGGAGGGAAGAGCCGTGGAAGGCTTCAAAGTATTTTTCCAGAACTTTTTTCCTTCAGAGGACAAACCCATCACATTCGAAAGAGGCTAAAGCTACAGTTTATGCACGTAAACACAAAGGATGAAAACACCTCAACAGCTTGCCTTTAAAAAGGATGACATAAACACAAACACAGACAGCCCAGAGGCAGAATTTTATACCCAACAACATATTGGGAAGCCAAACCTCAATCCCACAAAGATAGCTGTTGGCATACACCGTGTGCCATCTAAGCATTCATGCAAAGGGGTTCACTTGGCTGAAGACAAAGAGATTCTCTTCACCATTTTGTCATAACCACAGCTCTCAACCTAAAGAGATAGGAAGAATTTAACAGCAAATACGTAAAGCAAAGAAAGGTCTCCCTGGCAGCAAAACCTTCATCCAAGAACTAGCTGCTACATGCTACAATGATTCTGCAAACCGAGGAAGATCTTGGTCCGAGACCCTCTTCCAAACAAAGCTGCCGCTGTAGCTGCTCTCATTTTTAGAGCCCCTTTTATCGTCTCAAGAAATGCTAACTATAGTCCATGGGCATCTTTTTAATGGGGCCTCTGATCAGTCCCTAGGGATCACCATGAAATTAAGGCAGAGCACCAACTGGCAAAGAGCATTTCATAAGATACATGATCCTTCTTCAATCACCTTTGGTATCTCATGGAAGGAAAGCCACTAGGACCTGGTCAGGATTGCCCACTGCAAATCAGGGCAGAAAACTGGCCCAATTAGCTTGAGGATCAACCCTCCTTGACACCCAAAAAGAAAAATAAAAAAATAAAGAACTTACTGAGAAAAATCCTGAGGTTTGTTTTCTCCTCCTCAGCTTCAAAAAACACTGAGAGGAAACCCTGGAGGAGTTCCACCTTTCTAAAGCAGAACTGAATCATAAAGAAACCAAAATATCCCTTGACAGGATGTCTCGTGTCACAAGCTGTCATTTATGGGAGATTTGACTTTGGTGTTTTTGTGACTCCTACTAAGATAGTATCTTGAGGCAATGCATTTTGCAGGATTCAAATGATTCCATCACATGTTGGGTCATCAAGGGCACGTGCACACACCCACAACATAATTTTTACAGGAGTGACATCATGCATAGGAGCTTCCTTTTTGGAGATGGACCTTGTGAAAGAGTAGCTCCCATTCATCCACATAAATTAACTTACAAGAGGCCGAGCAATCAATTCTTGAATGTTAGGAACAGAAGCACACTCCCCCCATGAATTGGTTCACTTGCTGAGGAAGCACAAGAAACAAAGAGGTTTTTTTCCTTCCATTTTAACTGCATTGATGATACATGATGAGCAGAAAAGGGAAGGGGGACAAGTCATGCTGTCCAAGCCACTGACGAAGGCTCACTTGCTTCAGGTTCCTTAATTGGCAAACTGACTGAAAGGCAGAGAATATATAGGAAATCTTCCTTTTCAGATACCGTAGCCTTTTCCAAATAGCAGCCGCTAATAACACACAATGTTTTTTAAAAAAAAAAAACCAAATAAGCTAACTTTAAAAAAAGAGGGGGAGAGGGAAACCAAGGTGGAAGGGCTTAAAAAACTCTCACCAGGCCTCCTCCTTTTTACAGGAAAAAAGACCCACATTTGGCACAAGATACACAGTGCAACTCCAGCCTGCCACAACAGTTACTCCGCAACGAAATCTAGTTGTAAGGGCAACACTTTTGAAACCACGTTCACAAGAGGAAGCAGGATGAAGACAACCAGAAGGGCAGCCGGTTTCCTACCAGGCGCTGCACCGGAGCAGCGCGCCCACAACTTCCCACGCGTCCGGCGCAACCCTCGGCGAGCTGACTCAGCCCCACCCGCCTACGGCCCGAAGGGAAGGGCGGGCTCCTCCCCAGGCTCCCCTCGAAGACACGCCGTCACCCCTCCCCCGGTCGGGCGGGTTGGGGCGATCGCCGTCGCCAGCCCGCGGGTCTACAGGCACCGCCTTCCCGGAGGGGTTCCGCGCGGAGGCCCCGCTCTCGCCTTACCTCTTGTTCCCTGAAAGTCTGATTCTGCGCGTCGATCACCCGAATAGTCCTTTTAATGGGGAGCAGCCCCCCAGCGTCATCGTGCGCCACCATGTCCTCTCGCTGCTGAGCGCTCCTCCAGCCCGGCGCTCCCTGTAATCCACTGGCCGTGCAGGGCAGCCACAGAGACG